TTTCTGGTGAGTTCTAAGTGGGTTGGTCAAAAGTTAACACCTTTCAGCCAAAACATTGAACTATCAACTGTCAAAAGAGTCTAAAGCTCTGATAAAATCAAACCATCGAAAGCCCCTTCCTCTTAGCGTCAATAAACATGCCAACAGAAGAATCCGAGAAACCCATTTATGCAAAATGGTTCCAAAATCTCATGCCAAGTGTTAAACCAACTACCGAAAGAAGATTATCATTACCTTATAACCAATTGACGTGATGAATCGAGGCAAGAAAGGTGGAAGCAATTGTTCAGAATGCCGAAATGAAGCAAGAAATCCTTTTTCCCAGTTCTGCAAGGATGACGAGGACAGCGAGTTCAAGCCCAATTTCGGTGATGTTGCAGCTCCTTTTTCCAGAAGTGTCCAACATGAAATCTCCTCCCCAAGTGACGTAGATTACCCAGAAAGAAACGATTTTTTCAAAAAACAAGGTTATGAACAATTCAGAAAATGGCCGGGAAGACCCCTTAATCTTCAACCCCAGCCCAAGTTTTTGACGAAAAAAAATTTTCTGTCCCTTTTCTCTCGCCTATCTCTCTCTGACTCTCTCTTTTCCCTCTACCACCGTTCTCTCGTTTCTGTCTTCCAGAAACTCTCTCAAAACCCTAGCCATTTCTCTCAGCCGACCCCTCTCAGTTTCTAGTTCTTTCGATCTCTTTGTCTCGCTTATGCAGCCGCCAATCCCCCCCTTGTTTTTGTTTTCCTCTTTCCTTTTATATGGGGGAACCACAACCCTAAACCCTCAGCCATCTCTTCTAAAATTGCAGCCAAAGGGCTGCCCGAGTCCTTCCTTGCAAGCTGCGAAAATACGTAGCTTGCATGCCGCGGGTCTCTCTTCTTTTTTTTTTTTTTTTTGAAAAGTAATTTTTTTAAAAAAATGATAATAAAATTAAGTCAAACAAAAACAACAATTTTAAGAAACATCGGGCAAAAATAAACAAACTAGAAACAACAAAATTGCGATTTTTCTTCTTCTTTTTTTCTTCATTTTTCATTTTCATTATTTTTCTCTCTCTCTTTTTTTTTCAAGAAAACATTGAATTTAAAAAAACAACTAAAGCATATATATATTTTTTTGAATGCTTTTTTTTTTCTTTTTTTTTCAAGAAATTCTATGCTAAAACTTAAAAGTAAAAATAAAATAAAAACTACAAAACTGAAACTAAAAAGTGAATAAAACTAACACGACAAATAAAAACTAAATGCTAAAAATTTGGTGTCTACATTTGGGACGAAACTCCTCTTCTTCTATTTCATCGGCTTGAAGCGGGGATCTACGTTGAGGTGGTAGACGGCCAGGTCAGTCGGAATCCCGGGCATGTCCTCAACCGTCCACGCGAAAACATGGGAGTATTCCCTTAATAGGGCCTTCAAACCCTCCTTCTCCTTGGAAGGTAACGACGCGCCGATGCGGAGGACCCGGTCAGGCCTGTCCTCTCTCAAGAGGAACTCCTCGATCTCGTCTTGGGTGCCCAACTGCCGGGCCTCCTCCCCCAGAATGTAGGGCTCCAAGCTGATCGTCTGGGCGACTACCTTCTCCTGTCCCCGGAGCATGGCCAAGTAACAAACTCTGGCCACTTTTGGATCTCCATGCACCTCGGTTATTCCTTCCGGGGTGGGGAATTTGACGCTGAGGTAGAGCGAAGAGGGAATAGCCCGGAGGGCGTTCAAGGCGGGCCGACCCAAGAACACTTTGTACGGGGATTGTTGTTTGACCACCACAAAGTTGACAGGGATGGTCCGGCATTTGGGCGCCTGCCCTACCGTGACCATCAGGGTGATCATCCCCTCCGGGTTGATGGGCGGTCCGGTGAAACCCACTAGAGGTGTCCAAACCGGGGTCAACTGTCCATCTTCCAAACCGAGTTCCTTGAACACCCTGTAAAACAGGATATCCACCGCACTCCCTTGGTCGACGTACACCTTTTTCACCCGATAGTTATTGGTTACGACGTCTATCACGATGGCCTCGTGGTTCCCGAATGCCAAGGGAACCGCATCCCTTGGTCCGAATGTGATCTCTTCGTCTATGCGCAGGCGCTTCAGGGAATCACCCCCCTCGGAGGGAGGTCGCCTGTTCTTCCGAGCTACATGGCTGTCCCCCCGTGGGACCCCCGGCGATGGTGTTTATCACCCCTGCTAAGTTCTGGATGTCCTGGTCGGGGGAGTGGCCCCGAAGAATGTCACGCTGCTCAGGGCGGTCGCGACGCTGGCCCTCGTCCCTGTCTCCGCGGTAGGTACTTCCCGGCTCCTGGCCCGGTCGACCTTGCCGCACGAATCGTAGCAGGAAACCGCGCTAGATCAGATTCTCGATCTCCTTCCGTAGGGCCCAGCACCCCTCCATGTCATGCCCGACGTCACGGTGGAAAGTACAGTACCGGTCCTGGTTTCTCTTGTTCCGGGGGGTCCCCATCTTAGACGGCCGTTCCCCTAGACCCTCCGCCTCCATGACGGCCAGGATCTGAGTTCTGGACCGAGTCAGGAGGGTGTACCCTTTTTCCGGGAGCGGTGGTTGAACGGGAGCTTTCTCCTTTGAGAGTCGTTCAAAAACGTTCTTTTTGGTCGGGCCACCCTTGTTTTCGGGAGGGTTTCCCCGTCCTCGCCGATCTCCGAGCTCCCGATCCGACTCCCTCTTCAGGCGTGCCGCCTCCTCCGCATTGGCGGCTGCGTGCGCCTTAGTCAAGAGCTCCTCCAGGAGGCTTTTCGGCTAGCTTGTAGAAGAGCTCCTCTGCCCTGAGCCCGTTCATGAAGGCGGCCATCACCACCTTTTCATCCTTATCTCGGATATGCAAGCTCTCCGTGTTGAAGCGGGCCATGAATTTCTCAGGGACTCGTCCGGCTTCTGCCTGATTGCCATCAGGTGAGCCGCGTTCTTCGAATAAGTTTTCGAAGAGACGAACTGGGCGACGAACTGTCTGGCCAGCTCGGAAAAACTCCGGATGGACCCCGGTGCCAGACCCTGGAACCAGAGTCGGGTCCTCCCCTTCAAGAACATGGGGAAGGTCTTGCAACGGATTTCATCCGCGGCTGTTTGCAGACGCATGTGCGTGAGGAAGACCGAGAGGTGATATTCCGGGTCGGTCGAAGCATTATACAACTCAATGTTCGGGATCTTGAATCTCCGGGCTAGCGGGTAGTTCTCTATCCCCCGGGTAAAGGGCGAGACTGTGTAATTGTTCTTGTACAACTGTGGGCGCAAGATCTGCTCGAGTTCGTCTCGGACAGGTTTCCACTGGGGAAGGTTGCGCGGCCGGCTCTTGACAGGTCGGTCGGGGGAGCGTTCAGGCTCGTTCCGTGCAGGCTTCCGTGGAGAAGGATTTCTCGGTCGGCTCCCAGCGGACCGATCGCGGGAACACCTCTCGCTATCCCCGACCACCGAGGCCCGTGGGCTAGAGGGAGTCCGTGGTTGTTTCCTTCTGGGGGGTTGGTCCCGTGACTCATCCTCTGAGGGAATTGGAGGTGATTCCTTCTCCTTCTCCTTCGCCTCAGAGGCTTGTGCGCCCCCAGCTTCACCCCCCTCCTTCGCCTGTCGGATTATGTCTTCCAACATGGGGAGGTTCTCCGTCACGAATTAAAGGATTTGCTGTCTCCGTTCTCCTGAGAAGGCTGAGCCCCCGGCGTCCCGAGCCGCCTCGGTTTCCCTTCGTCGGGACCCCTCGCCGGCTCCGGGATCGGTGGTCTCCATGGTTCGCTTGGAACGCGTTCTCGCCATCAACACAACTACACTTACCTTTCGTTTCCCACAGACGGCGCCAATTGAAGAAGCGCTGAGCTTCCCCGGACCGATCTGACCTGATGAGCTCGGCGCGCTGATGAGGAGAGCGTGTCCCAACCCTGCAAAACAGACAAGAAGCGGTCTCTAGGACGACTAACAGGGGAGCCCCGAGGTCGTCCCCAAGGGCACTCCGACGGTCAAGTCAGTTTTCCGGTGAGTGGAGTTCACTGAGAGTAAAACGGTTGGGAGTGTTTTGCCAATAGTGAGCGTACCTTGTGTAGTTGATGTGCGTTACCATTTATATCTGCTCGAGAGTCCGACCTCCGTACGTTTCGTGACCTGCCCGGGATAGTCTCAATCCCACACTGAGGGGGATTTTCCCCACCCTCTGCGGGATTGTTCCCTGAAGCCTCTTGGAGCCCTAGCAACTGTGTGTCCCAGGACGGTTCCCATGGGCTTCTGGCCTTCCTGGGCTGCCACGTGTCTGGGCCCAGGACGGGGCCTCTGCACCATGGCTAAAGTGAGTTGTTGAATTTCGATTGGAAAGTTGACAACTAGTATATGCTTGACCAATAAAAAAAGGGTAATTATGGGGTTTGAACTTTTGACACAAAAAATGTCAATTCCGTGTATGTTAATCTTGGACTTATGAGGGAACAATCCTTTCAACTTAATTATTATGCTTTGAATTGGTCAAATAGTATTTGAGCAAGTCTCAAGAACCCAACTTCTACATCTTCTTTCTTGAAAATTGGCAATACTCATTAAACAATCAATCAGATAAAATTTCTTTTGATCCTTATCAATAATGAAAGCACTTTTAAGTAAAATATATAGGATAAAAGAACTCAAGACCAGCTTAGTTTCCTACTTCTATGTAAAATCTATAATGCCTTGCACTTGTTGAAGGAAAAGCACAAGAAAAGAAATACAAAGAAAACAAAATACAGGTGAAACAATCAATTCTTGTACTTTCTGGTTTTCGCCTATAAAAACGAAGATTATGGCACTAAAAAGTTCTCAAGTACAAATACAATCACGACTAAAAATTAATATTTGTATTTCACTTTTTGTTTGTGCCCTTTCTCTTCTTCTTCTTATTAACTCCCTTTTATCTTTTTAATCTAATTTTCCATTTACTTATTGTTATATTTAATTTTAAAAAATTAAATTTACTCTATTTATAAATTAAAATTAAGATTATTACGTATTTAAAATTCAAAACTCCTCAATGGATTTGTAAACTCACCAGGGCTGTCATCATTATTTCGAGATGAAGTTGATGATGAAAGCTTAACTCCCAGCCTTGAACAATCTGACCCAACGACACCTTTTTAAATCAAACATTTAAATTACCACAATAGCTGTTATATACATATATCCTCTATTGCATGTTTTTCTATTAATCTCAAATATAAATAAAAATGAAAAAGTAATCTCAATAATTATATAATAGCCATGGCGCTCTTACATTGATTAAAGCATGGAAAAACTGAGATGTCGTTGAGATTAGAGTAACCACTATTGCACTGACATTTGCGTGTATATGTTGCATCCTTTATGCATGTTCCTCCTCAGCAGTAAATCCAGTAGCAGGCTAGAATGATAAGAAAAGAATTTTACAAAATTATTTGTTAGAAAAAAATTTAGTTTTATTATTTATTTATTTATATTATTATTGTTTTTACCCACCCTCCCCTTCCTATGCCCTTTGTACTCCTAACTGTTAAACACGAAATTCGTACTCTAAACCTGACAGTCAAGAGGATTCTAAGAGTTCTCGTTTATTGTAAAGTACGTTAATATTGGAAACTTGAGATGAAAGATAGTTTTTTTTCCTTCTTTTCTGAAGTGAAAGAGTACTTACGGTCGAAGAAAGATTTATTGTATGGAATTGATGGAAGAGGAGCAGGAGCTAGCATGCAAGAATAGTCAAGAGAGCCTGTAAACAAGAGGAAAGATTTTTTAGTCTTATGCTTCATTTGGCCGGCAAATTGGACTGAGGGACCTTGATAACGATCACAGTTTTCAGCTTACAACCAAATAAAGTACTAGGAAAATAAATATACAAATTTCTCAAACAATGTCTTGAGATGTATGTGGCAAAATTAACATTTTTTTTTCAACTTAACATAAAATAAAAGCAAAATTTGAAGATTAGGAAAGATATCCAAATTGCTTCTTTGGTGGGAATAATAATTCAAATCAACTTATTTCAATATTAAATTCTTCTAAATTCCAAGATCACAATGAGACGCCAAAAAGCACCTATTATACTGCTTTTGATTTTGAACTTTTTAGCCTTGGGGGAAAATTTTGAACAGAAATTGACAACTAAAGAAAATTGTATCTCCCAAAAGAGAAGAAAAGGAGAAGATAGTAGTTTTTCTTTTCTTTTATTTTTTTGAAAACCAGAATTAAAATCAGGGGTTTCTGATCAATTCAGAACATGCTCTAAGTAGACGAGAACAAAGGGCGAAAGACTTACAATTTGGAATTACACAAGGTAGAAACTACAAAGTTTCTTCATTATCTAAACGGGTACGCCTCCAACCATTGTCGCAAATGCATTTGAAGTTGAATGGGTAGCCTAGAGATGCTTGGCAAGTTCCTTTCCCACACTCTACTTCTTTACATATATCGTCTGTGGCAATTACATGAAAACCCTAGAGAGTTAGAAGAGTTTTATTTCCCACAAATCATATATTAAACACACATATAAAGAAAAGGGCACGTACTCAAAATAGGAGTCAAATGATCATCTCCTCTTGTGCCAATTGGTAGAAGAATCATTACCATGGCAAGAGAAATTTTGAACCAGGAAAGAGCCATCTCTAGAGAGACAAAAGAGGGATCAAGAAAGCTAAGACTATGAGATAGAATAGGTGATATTTGTGGTGTTTTTATACTTGATATATATATAAATTTGTAGAGTGGATTTTTCTACGTGGAAGATTCTTAGATTGTTAGACTAATTAAGTTAGAAATATTTGGCAAAAGTCATTGTAGAAGTCTTGAAAAGCCGTTATGATTTGGAAATTAAGCTCCAAGAAATGAAGCAAAGCTTTAATTTGGCTCAACCTGTTTTTACTTGTATATCGGACTGTGACAGAGTCTTCTTTTACATTGAACTAATCCTCAGTCTATATCCTACATGAGTTCTTGTACATCAATGTTGCTTGAATTTGTCCTCAGTTCTCGTACATCCTGCATGTTCTTATACTTGTATTCTAGAGGATCTAGATAGCAGCAAGAAATGGTTACCTAAAAAGGAAAAAAAGTTAGCTTTTGTGCAAGGTTTCTAGTATTTTTGTGGAAAAATTGCAATGCGGTCATCAAAATGCAATTTATAAGCTTCTTGGTGCACAGATAAGCGTTTCCATTAATTTCAACTAACACATTCTAATAATTTCTTCTTTGTACTTAATTTGTTGATTTTTTTGATAATTTGATGTCTATGTTTAATAACAGGGATTAATATCTAGTTAAAGATTTTCTCTTATCTATTTATTTTTGTGGTAACTAAAAATGGAATAGAAGGCAGCTTACTTTGCACATATCAAGTATATAATTTTATTTGTGTATGTATTTATGTATATATATATATGTATGTCTGTGTACACAAGCATGTTCTAAATTGTTTCAACAAGACAAATAAAGCAGCAGCCAAAATCTACCTTAGTGCAGTTGAAATATTCAACTTTATAAAAAAACATTATATTATTATCTTGTTAATTCAGCGAAATAGTCGTATCATTTCAAGAAGTCTGTGATCATTGACCTTGAGAACAATGAAAAGTCAAATTCCATCCACATGTTCTCCAAAATATCTATTTCAAGAACAAGAACTTTGCAGAAATATTACCCATATGTATAAGTTAATCACTAGAGGACATAAAATATTTCCTCAGAAGCAGCAGCAAAGTTAGACCTGATGAACTTTTGAATTGATCCAACAGTAAATCTTCAAAAGTCAGAATTTTTTTTGTTGAAATCTAAATCAAGGTTAATAAGGACGGTGGAACTCCTTTTTGTATGTGCGTGTGTAACTTTGTGTGAGAATGATTTTTCTTTTAAAATTTCTTTCTAAATTTGTGGGCATCTTGATTCCCTATTTCTTTTGTTCTTCTTGGTAAGAATGAAGTTTTCACCATTTTGAACATTTTTTTTAAATAATTTTTTCTTGTACACCTGGTGGTGGTATATTCATCATATCATATCATTTACTGTGTTCAATTGAAATTGATGTTTCTTTATTCTTGTTACCACTGTACCGGGGAACCTTCAATTTTGCTTAAACAGAATAGAATTAGCTCATGCGTTGCTTGGCCAGATTGTTTTCTGGGTTGATTTTTGCAAAAGCCACGATTGCATCTTTGGTCTCAAATATATAGAAGGGACGAGCCATAATGATCCTGATGTTTTGCCCACATTAATTTTTTGGTTCTTAGCTTCTTAATTTTGCCCACATAATAATCCTAAACAATTATTAGACAAATCTTGAATTGCAAATGAGAAGGGTCGAATCCACGTTTATTTTCGAAGCAAAATGCTAACCTTCACATAGGTGCAATTTATTACCTAATGTTTAGAGTGTGTGGTCCTGAATCTGTCAATAGCCCCATGCATTGCGCGGTGGATCTGAAGAAGTACTAAAAATAATTTGATAAAAAAGGACCAAATACTCACATGCAACTATATTAATATCGTCTAAACTATTAGTCGGTAATTTTTTTTTTGGGTTGGTTTGATAAATTGGTTAAAGCCATAAAATAACTTGAAATCCTACATGGCTCAAGTACTATGCTTAAATGTTAAAATTGATAATTTGCTAGTCTTTTTTTTGGTCCGTACGATAATTTCTATTTTACTTTTATTCCTATGTTTACTTAATACTAAACTTTATACTGAAGAGATGGATAAACCCAAAGGGATCATTGAAAGACTTGAAGGAGACTGCATTGCCTCCAAACCAAACAGGTACATTATGTAAAAAAATAAACCAAATTGTGATAATTGATTAGTTTATTAACCACGTAGTGTTAGTTTATTGGTTAATTTATTGGTTAATAACGTTGGTTATATTGTTTAGTTATTGGTCACATGGAACCTTTTTTTTTTCCTGAAGGAATGGTCACATGGAACCTGATTCGTGAAGTAATTAGTAGTAGTAGATGTTAATATAAAAAGGCCGCATAGGGTATAAGAATAAGTTGTAGCCTCCGCATCAGTTTTGTCGTCTTTAACCATATAGATAAAGAGGGAAAGCCCCCTGCCACTTGGGATGGTCGTCTGCCCACGTGGTGCGTGGGGATTGGCCAGTGGTGCTGATGTCATTAACCATGCCAGGTAGTTTTTTTTTTTTCATGGTAGGTAGTTCTTGCATGGCCCTCTTTTTTTTTTTCTCTTTTTTCCAGAAACAACTATGATGCTGTCGTTGTTTTTGTTTGTCATTAGTCGTTAGTCATTAGTCATTAGTTAGTCATTTTTGGGCAGAGCAACTTCTTGGTCAATGGTGAAATTACGCTTTTCCCCCAAGGTTTATTTTTTTTACTTGTTTTTATTGCTTTTGTATTTGTTGGTAATATTTTGTGGGGGTCTGTCCATCTATGTAAAATGACCTCTACCGCCAAATTTCCATTGTCTGAGACTTCCAGTTTTTAACAATTCAACAGCTTATCTCTGTATGGCCATGGCAGGATATCTCGTAACCATTGGAAACTTCCGTCGATTTTCTGTTGGACAATTTTCCTTTTTGGGTTCCATTCGGGCTGTTTCTCTTCATTCTACCTTCTGCTCGCTGGTTCTGCTATCGCTTGTTTGCTGTTTGCTGTGCTTATGGTGAGTGTGGTCTGTCCTCATGCTTGCTTTTGCTTTTCAAATTTTTTGTTGTGTGCTTTTAGCTCTGTTTGCCTTATATTCTTTTTGTTTCCTGGTTGTTAGCTTTATAGGTGGTTACTGTTGCATTGCCGCCTTCCATAACCACAGGTGCATGTTCTTAATCTTTCTTCCTCTGCTTTTTTATGATGCATTGATGTTGTGCATGTTCGTATTTCTTTTGCTTCCATAGATTTTTCTACCTTTTCTCTGGGTCTTAGCTCTTCCACCTCTTCGTTAGTCGCTTTTGGTAGCTTTTGCGTGTCTACTGTTGCATTGCCATCTTCCATGAACACGCGTCCAGGTCCTTAATCTTTCTTCCTCTGTTTTTTTATGGTAAGAAAGTGTGCTGTTGCCTGCATTTATGCTGTGCATGTTTGCGCTTCTTTTGGTTCCAGATGTTTTTTCCTTTTCTTTCGGTTTTTACTTCTTTTCACCTATTTTTTAGCCATTTCCATCCTTCGACCGTTGCCTTGTGCCTTCTATTTTTGCTCGTTGCTTAGTTTTCTTTCAGCTCCTTTCTTTTTGTGCTTTATTTGTTTGTTGTAATGCTTGTTAGTGCCTTTTGTCGCCTACTTTCCCTTTTTTCACTTTTTTTCATGTTCTTCTGTCTTGTTTCTGTTGTTCTGTGCATGCTAAAGTTTTGATTGTTTTTTTTATCCTATAGTTGTTGGTTGCGCCGGTCCTGTTCCCCTTGGTGTTCCTTTTGCTTTGGAGACGTATGCTCCCAGCCAGTTCTTGTTTGAACCAGTTCAGGTTTTTTAACTATTCTGCCTTGTTCTTTTTCGTTCTGCTCTGCGTCCTTTTATTATTGTCTTGTTGTCCTGGAACTTCTTGTTGGATAATTTGGTTTAGCCTGTGTTGTATACCTCTGGTGCATGCCTCTAGGCCTGTTTCTGTTTAATTGCATCTATTCCATTTTTTACTTTCGGTTGTTCTGCACTTTGGATGTTGTTGAGTCATTTCCTCTTTGGTTGTTGGTCTTAGTTTCTGTTCTTGAGTCTTCCAGCCTAAGAACATGGATAGAAATGCAAGGCGTCGTAAACAGTATGCGAAAATACCGGAGCATGAAAAGGCCGATCGTTTGTGCCGTCGTCGTGATGCTAATTCTGCAAAGAAACGAAGGCTTTCTTTTCCTGCTAATGGTCGCGAAACTACCTCACCTCTAGCAGAGGGCGAGGGTAGCCAGCATAATGCTGGAACCTCTCTTGGTTGTGTTTTCCCCAGTGGTCTTTCCAACATGTCGATAGTAGATATTATGGCCAGTCGATTCCCAATTTCCCGGACACGCTTAGTAATTTAGGTATTCCTGCACTTAATAGGCAGGCCACTGGGGATATTCTACAATCAGATTGCCATCTTAATGCTGAATTTACTGCATTAGATGCCTAGAATCAAATCTCCTTCTCTACTGGCCTACACCGTCAGTTTCCGTCTTCTTCTGTACGAGTTGAATTTTTTTTGCTCGTCTGAGCAGCTTGTTTTCTATTTCTTCCACTTTACATTTGCTTATTGTGTACCCTCCTGTCTCGGTTGGTGGTTAATGCTGCAGAACAATGCATGGAATCAGCATCTGCTACCAATGACACAGTTCAGCCGTCTATTTGTGGGACTGAGAATAGCCACCTTTTTACTGAA